GCTTCTCCCTCTGCCTCTGCTGCTCCCCCTTCTTGTGTTCCCTCTCTCTCTGTGTCTCTTTTCTCTCCAATAAGTGATCTTTTTTTAAAAATCTTAAAAAGTAATATACAAAATAAACTGTGTTTCTGTCCACCAGCAACAATCAAAAAATTATTTATAAAGTTAACAGTGCAAAAAGTGAACACTACCAGGCAGGCCGGGGTGAGGAGTCAGCAACGGTGCTGTGCACAGCTCAGGGGAGAGCAAGCTGGGGTCTTCTGGACAGTTGGTGTGCAACCTGGGATGCAGCATTCCCACCTCTGCAGGCTTCCGCATCCCCTGCCAGGGCTCATGGATAAGGATGTGCACAGCGGGGCTGTGAGAGATAGTTCCAGATGGCAAACAACCCACATGTCCATCAGCAGCAGAATTGATCAAGAACGTGTGACCGGGGAGCCTGGATGGCTCCATCGCTGGAGCATGCAACTCTTGATCTTGGGGTCATGAGTTTGAGCCCCATGTTGGGTGTAGAGATTACATACATACACACACAAACTAAAAGTAAACCCAAACGAAACACCATGTAAAGGATTCACCCAGGCAGTGCGGTGGGCCGGGAGCTCGAGTGGGCAGCAACTGGGCAGACAGCATCAGTGAGTTTCAGTTGCAAGTGAAAGAAACAAAATGCACAAAAAAATTAGTTTTATTGGGGGAATACACGATTAAAAAATAGACACACCTAAATTAATTGGTTTAGGGTTATCTTCAAAGATGGTAGAACTATAAAGGCAAAGAAGCAGTCTAAAGCTCGGGACAGTGGTGTCTTCAGGGTAAACAGAGGTGTGTTGTGGGTGTGTGTCCGACGCTGCCTTGTTTTATTTCTTGGGGAGCGAAGGCCACACCAGTGTTAAATCATAACTGCTCATTGAACTTATTCCTGTATTCTATACATTTCTCTGTATACGTTATAGGTCGTGATTTTATTTTTAAAAAGAATGAACATACCACTTACAATAGTGTGTGTGTATGAAGCCTGGGAGTAGATCTGACAGAAGATGTACACAGCCTTTAAAGAAGACCTAGCTGAGTGGGTACACCATGGTTTGGGTGGAGCACGTGTCCGATCCTCCTGGGTGGGCCAGCAGAGTTTGTAGGAAAGAGCGAGGGCCGGGAATAGTCAAGACGGGCCTGAGGAGGAAGCCAAGCGGGGACTTTGGAAATGCACATTGCTCGCAGCTGTCGTGGTGAGGACAACAGAGTGCCGGTCAGGTTCAGACTGACCCACAGAGCTGGCGGCACGCTCAGACACGGGGCTGTCGTGGAGAGAAGGGTGCTGTGCGCCGACCGTCCTCAGAGGCCCAGTTGTCTGCGTGGGGAAAGTGAAATGTCACACAGCAAAAGGCCAGATACAGAAAGGACTTCAGTAGGAGGCAAAGCTATAAAACTCTGACAGTCGATTTCAGAGAGAAGAGTTTTGACCTAGAAGTAGGGAAGATTTCTTAAACAAGGCAAAGGAGGAGAAATCAGGGAAGAAAAGATGTATGAATTAAACTACATTAAAATCAAGACTTTCCACCAAAAAAGCAAAAGGCACCATGGAGTGAGAACACGTTGTAAAAACTTGGAAAACAGAAAGTGGGAAGGAGAAAAGGTTTTGTCCTCCTGCCACCACAGTGGCCGCTGCTGACAGATGAACACACGCAGAGGGAATGGCGGGTCATCAGTGGGAGAGTCTGGTGAGACGTCAGCCGGATGCATAAAGCGTCTCCCCACGAGGCCTGTCCTCACCACGAGGAGAGGGGGCAGAGTGGGGGTGCTGCTGCGGCCGTGGCCACACGCTCCTGCCAGGCTCGAGCACAGCTTCCTGACCAAATCCCCGCGTGTGTGCTGTGGGGCAGTAACGTGGGGAATCCGGAAGGCCGTCGCCTTACTGTTCCGTAAGCCTGAAATTGTTTCTGTTCTGGACGGACTGTGCATGTTGGTATTTGGAGGCCCGTGTCCCCCGTGTTGTGCGTGTTGGTGGTATTTGGAGGCGAGGCCTTTGGGGGGGCTAGGTCTTGAAGGTGGCAGCCCCATGATGGGCTTCGTGCCCTGAGAGGGCACGCTGCCCCTCTCTGCTGTGTGAGGGCACAGTGAGGAGCTTCATCTGCAGTCGGAAGGGACCCGGCGTGCTGGCACCTTGAACTCCTGCATCCAGGAGTTCAGACTGCAAACAAGGAATGTCTGTTGTTTGTAAACTGCCTGGTCTGCCGTGTTTTGTTAGAGCAGCTTCAATGGCCTGAGACAGTTTGAAAGCTAAATGTTAAAAATTTGAAGGTGAAAGGGAGTGATCTGTAGTATCCAGTGGCCCAGTTCCGTTAAGACTGGGAAGTGCAGTTGCAGAGGCCCCCGCTGGTCTCCCTCGGAGAGGCGAGGTGTGTGGTCTGTGGGCCAGGCAGGTGGGGAGGGCAGTGGTGGAGGGGAAGGGGGTTGCCCTGTGCTGGGTCCTGGGGGCGTGTGGGATGGGACTCACCCTGCATCTGCTGGCTTTCTCCTTCCCTGGAGTAGCAGCCTAAGGTAGAGCCCCTCTTGCTCTGGGTGCTGCTCTGCTCGTGGTCCTAGGACACCTGACTTCCTCCCAGCCCCCTGACCCCGGCCCCCCCCCACCTGATACCCACGGGACGGTTCTGCCAGCGTTCAGATGGCTGCTCTTTATCCTTGTGTCAAACAGGGCGGCCCACACTGTGGCCTCACCACTTTCCCTGCTGCTCCTGGCTCCTCTTGGCTTCTCAGGCGAAGTTGGGTCAGGAGGGATGTCCGCTCACTCCTCCCCACCCTTTCTCTCACAGACCCTGCTGCTCAAGACTTTGCCTGCACTGTCTGGCTCTTCTCAGGGTCCGTGGAGCCCCACGAGCTGGTCATGCATTTGGTCCTACGGTGCTCCCTTCTCTCTGTGTCCCCCCATCTCCTGCGCTCTCTGCCCCCACAGTGGCACCCCATCCCGCAGAGCAGCCTTCCCCGCAGACTGGCTCCACTTTGTGTCCTCTACCTGGCCTCACTGTGCTGTGCTGGGTGCCCACGCCCAGGCGCTGGCTGAGACGGGGACCCAGGACGCACCTGGTCCTCCCCACGGGCTTCCGGAAGCATCTGCTGATCCCGAAGGAGGCCCCAGAGTCTCTGAGCTGCTGGGAGCGGACAGTGAGTGGGCTGGTCCTTCTCCTTCCAGCAAGGGGCATCTGGCCTTGAGTGGGTCTGGTCTCAGAGGGCAGGGCTGTGGTGCTGAGGAGCGTGCCCATTGCGAGGTTCCGGAACAGCAGAAGGACCTACAGACACAGCAGTCTGTGGTATTTAAAGGGTTGTTATTTGTGTGGAAACTTGGAAGCAGAATAAAAATATGCCAGATGTCAGCCAGACACACCGATATCGACATACCGATATTAAAATTGCCTTGTTCTAAATAGCTTTAGTTTTCATTAAAAAACTTAGTGGGATGGGGGTGCCTGGGTGACTTGGTTGGGCGTTGGGTCGTGGTCTCAGTGTCGTGAGATTGAGCCCCGCGTTGGGTTCCACGCTCAGCAGGGAGCCTGCTTGGGAGTCTCCCTCTCCTTCTATCCCTCCCGTCCACTCATGCTCTTTCTGTATCTCTCTCTAAAATAAACGAATAGGGCGCCTGGGTGTCTCAGTCGTTAAGCGTCTGCCTTCAGCTCAGGTCATGATCTCAGGGTCCTGGGATCGAGCCCCGCATCGGGCTCCCTGCTCAGCAGGAAGCCTGC